TACTTATCTTTAGAAATGTGTATAAACGTCTAAAGTATTGTATGTTTATTAAATTTACTTAACATTTTATATCACTAAAGCTTTTATGATCGACTTATTGACAACAAATCAGTTATAACAAATTCCAATCTAATATTTAGTTACGAAAAAAGTAGCACTCCTTAATCAGAAACCAAACCAATTTAACACCCACTTGGATACAAGTGGGAGAATACTTTATTTTTCCAATGAAAATAATCTACAAATAAATAGAAAATAAATGACACAAATGTGCCACGAAAATGGAATAGAAGTCATTGATAGCGCCATTTCGCCTAAAGGCTGTGATAAAATATTGTGACGATGAAGACCGCGTTATTGCTTATGGAATCATTTGCACTACATAAGACTGACTTGGCCTTACACATAATCGAACAGAATATGTTGACAAATTACTTTAATCGGAACGAAAATCTTGGAAGAAACGGAAATCCTGGGAATAGGCGAGAGGCTAACAAACTCCATTGGCAACAGTTTTGATTGAAGCAACAAATGCGACACTTGTGAACCAACACAACCCCTGGAATACTGAAGGATTCTAATGAAGGATGATAAATAAATCTGTTAGGTTTTCTTTAAATGTGATTTACTTTCATCTGCTTTTATTTACGTAAATCAATGCAATACATAATCTGTCATTGAGGAGGATTGTTAGTTACATAAAGAAACTTAGTTTTTGTTATCCAAATTACAAGCTGCGAAGTAAATAATATTCTTCCAAAATAAATATAAACATTTGTTAAGCAAATTTTATTTAATCTAAACATATTTAGAAAAATGTTTAATTCTTAAAAATTAAATTTTCGACTTCTTAAATAGATTTTTTCAAAATAGTTTTTGTATTAACAAACACATTTCTTAGCACTTATTTGAGTCATTACAAATTCTAGCTTACGCATTCAGTATTGTCCCATACGCCAGGAGAAATACCAAAAATACATAGAAATACATATAAATTTATATAATATTTATTTATAATATAAATACTAATATAATAATAAAAAAATTATTACTTAACTATTTCTTCTTTCTTATCTCTTTCTCTCTTATTACCTCCCTTACGACTATATAAATCAGTGCAGTCCAGACCAGATACGATTGCAAAAATATATTATATTTGCTCATAAAAACAAAAAATATTTTAAATGTTATTATATATGAGAATTTATAAAGAATACTTTTTCTTTTCTAACTATCGTCTTAAAGCTTAGTGTATTAAAGCTACTGAAGAAACAAATAATGATTCAAAATTTTGTAATTCCTCATGAATTCTTCATAAATTGCCACAACAACTACCAGTACTAATAGAAACTTGAAAACGAATTTATGGGTACTATTTTTAATGGACAATAAAAATCTCAAAGATAGGTTCAAAATATTAGAAAGTTTTTTATATTAGAAGATAATTTTGTTTTTAATAAAGTTCATCACTAATTACATTTATAGATATTTTACACATTTTTGAATTTATATATTTTTATATATATTATTTATGTATATAATTCCTTTATTGATATGTGTGGTGTTAAAAAAATTAGTTGTGTAAGTATTTATTCAGAAATTAAGATATTTTTAAAAATATCTAGACAACAATAGTTGATAAAGTAATTTTTTAAGTGCAAACATGTATAATATTTATTTACAGATTTTTTTTTAATTTTATATTAAAATAATTAAATGAACGACTAAATAATAAGAAGCATCGTGATTATATACTCTTCTTTGGAACTGTAAATAAAAAGTGCCTTAATAAAGCGGAGAGTCCATTACAAGAATTTATACTCTACTCCTCAAATAAGTATCATATACTTTTTGTTCCTATTATTTTAAATCAACTTCAATCTCTCTTATTTTGGGTGAAGAAATGGTTGTCAAAATAAAGAATCAAAATTAATTAACTAAAATGTAGATACGTAATTTTACCTAAAATCGGAGTGTATCTTCAACAATTTTACCAAATAACATTCCCATACCAAAAGCAGATAATATAACGCACTTAGGTATTCATCTAGACACGTTACTAACTTTGCCAAAAAAACTATAAATGAAACTCCAAGCCTCTAATTGCATTAATAACAGATCCTGCATATATCTAGAGTTTAAAGTACTTTTGTATAATAGCATCATAAAACCAGTATGAACTTATGATATCCAGCTATTTGGTACTGCTAGTACTACAAATATTAAAATTATATAAAAAACTCAGCCAAAAATGCTAAAAATTATCACTAATTTTCCGTGATATATTTAGGATGAAAGTATCGACCAGAGACGAGGCGTCGAATGGTTCAGAGTGTTCACTGAACACCTTAACAAAGCTTCCTTTTTAGATCTTTTTTTTATTAGGTAAAAAATCTCGCTATTTTGCTATTTAACATTTTTTATAATAGCTTTTTCAAACATATAAACATAAACACAAAACGTATAATACAAACAAAACCACACATACATATGTTAGTTACACCCAACATTACTTATAATTAATAAAATAGAAATAATTTATTTCAAAGAAATTCCTCTTAAAATATACTAAGGTTCAAAATAAAAAATGCACCGCACTGCTTACAAAACATGTCAATGAAATAACATTCACATTGGGAC